ATGGGGAAAGGTACACTTTCCATAAATTTCACCAAAAAGCTAAATATTAGCTTTTTGAGTCGTGCAAGTAAACTGTCAAAATCAAGTTTTCACCAAAATGCATTATTTTAGCTGATTTCAGTTTCTACTGCTTGACAAATGTTGACATTTTGGTAGCAGAGTCAAAATCCCATTGGCCTTCCTTAGCGCCAAACTAATGCTGCACACAGAATGTAAGAGTAATCAGAAGACTGATTTTAAATAAACTTTCCAAACTTTGAAAAACTATATACACCATGTTGTGTATGTATATAACTGGAGGCTGAGCATATCCGTCTTTCCAAATCTGTCTCAGGGAAACGGAGGAGGACAGGGTGGTGGAGAAAAGTGCCAGAAAAGCTGTTCCAAAGAAGTTATTCAAATGGAATCAGGAGATCAGGTGGACTGCTGCACAGATCATCTGAGGAGAAATGTGGACGATTCTTGTAACGCTTGTTTTCATAACATGCAGAGATTGCTTGGGTCTCTTATTGAAGGAGAAAATGGCAACATGTCAAAAGGAGGGGAAAGAAGGGCAAGAGCTTGAAGAGTACATGAAGACTGTGCTTGACAATGAAGTGAAACCTCTTTGGCCTAAAGGATGGATGCAGTCCAGGTCTGTTGCAATTTTAAAACCTGCCATATTGATGAGAGATTTTTACCTCATTGTTATTTCAGGGTGCTGATGAGGGAGAGCAGGAAGCTGTCGGGCCTCTTTGCTTCGCTCCTGTAAGAAAGTCCAGCAAACTCTTTGGATTGCGTTTGAAATCATTTTAGATTGTTTTTAAATGATGTGCATGTTCTCATATGTTCAGAGTAAACAAGGCCAAGAGCTGTCAAACTGAGAAGCGTCCAGACAGGTGCAGAAGCAATCAGGGGACTGAAGAATTGAAGGTGGAGTCAGGCGTCTCTGTCTCCTTCTCTCCTCCAAAGGCAGACGGACTTCCAGAGACTCCCGGATGTTCCCTCCTGGATATCCTCGCCGACCAGGCACTGGCTTGTGAGCAGCCCCTTGCTCTCTCCAGGGACTACTTGGCGACAGCGGTGTTCAAGCCCTGGAATGTGGGGACGGACAACAGAAGTCCTCCTCTTCCTCCTCCACCACCTCACTCAAGCCCAATCAATTTCCCTGAGAGTCAGGTTGTTTTGCCTCATCTGTTGCAGGTTGGAGATATCAAATCTTTTGGAGTCTCTCAACTTAGAAACGGACAGTAAATTTAACCTTTATGCTAACTTGTATTGCCTGAACCTCTTGCTAAACTGGTTATTCCTGAGGGTTTACAGTAGCTCAGTTGGTTCTGATAAATATTGAAAGATTACCGTTACATTTCTGAATTGGACATTGTGAGAAACGTGACTCTTGTCTTCAGTGCTGTCGGATTGTAATTCACCTTATTAAAAGTAAATAAAGCTGTAAATGAGACATTTGAAAGACTCAAGAGCTGAAACCTGTTGCAGAGCAACATCAGAATATTGAATGATGTTCTGTGTACGCAGTGTTCCCTCATCTTAATGTAATCATGATGTGGTGGAAATGGCAATAGAATCGACCTTCGATTAACTTTGAAGAGATGAACAAACTTCAATAGGTGCAGGGTTTTACTCGACTTTTCTGGCTTCCGTTAGCTGTATTTTCATTAAACGTGTGCCCAAAACGTTATTCATTCTTTATTTTTTTTATTTATTCTTTTTCCCATTGAAAAAGAAATGCAGTTAAAATCAGACAGGAATAAGTTTCTACTTGTGAAAAGTCATTAAAAAACACATGCTGTGCCATCATCCTCAAACTGCTGTTTTTGTAGTTTGTGCCAGCAGCAATATCAGGTTGTTCATGCAAATCATGTAGTTTTACAAAATAAACCAATTTCAATATGGAGACCACCTCCCCCACCTAATCCTGACACTAAAACCTTTCATTGAAAAAGTGTCCTTTCAACTGGCTTGTTTCTTATCCATTCAAATCATGCAGTTGCATGGTTAATGGAAACGCAACTATTGGCGTGCTTAGGATCCTGTCTAAATGAATCACTTTTCTAAAACCAGTCGGTGGTTTGGATAAGTTTGCTTAAGATTAGTGTCACAATGAAGGCTGTTGCTTTGAAGATGTTTGAGGTTGACCCAAGAAGTTTACCATTCATTTTTATTCTTTGCTCATAGCTTCACAATTAACCAATATTGGAAAGTTTTATATGCTGGCGAAGGTGGTTGGAGTTTGTCCTGTAAACTGCGGGTTGCCAGTTCAAACCCTCACTCCATCCGTTTCGGTCATTGTGTCCTTGGGCTAGAAGCTTCACCTGCCTTGTCTGCTGGTGGAGGTCAAAGGTCCCTGGTAGTAGACTTTTTCTTAGAAACTGTGGATATTAGGTTTGCTTTCATCCAACATCAGGGATATTTGACATGTTGGCTTTTCTTCACACATCTTCCAGTATTGGTGTGTGTGAACCAAGAATGAAGCCCTGTTGAATTCGATGTTTAACCAATCGTGAAGTGAGGGGAATTCTAAATGGACATGGTTTCATGGTGCACCAGAAAATCGAGAGGACGTCAGACATCCTTTTATTTATTTTTAAAGTACTCCACAAACTGCCATGTTTGGACTCAAGAGATTTTGTGAGATTTCCTGTTTGGCACCTGAATGTTGGGGAGTGAAATGGATTTGTGTATGGTGTGTTGCTCGACACCACACACAGGTAGTACAGGTTTGGTCATACTGTTTTTTTTTTTTTTTAATTGTGTTTTGAAAATCGTCAAGATTTCTAAATCCTGTGATCGAACCAGGCGTAAGTCTGCCTGATGATGTGACATTGATCCTAAATGATTCCTAGATTCTACTGATCTGACTGAGCAAGTTGGTTTAAATGGCTTTTCCCGTAAAATAAAAATAACCATTGAAAGCCTCTGGTTTTGTTCAAGCCATCTTTGACTTCTGATGGGTTATTTTGTTTTTGTTTTTCCCCAAGGAGGTCAGAAAATTGTTCCTGGGTCTGCTGGGTGGCTGCAGCATTGATTCTGAACAATACACTAAATTCAAGGAAGATGGTCAGTTGAGACATACATTTCTGTTGAGGTTTAGTTTCTGTATTTTACAAACACTCCAAATAGCATAAATGAAGTTGACATTATGACATCGCAAAATTTAACCAGTGCTTGGATTAAAAGAAGCATGCCACAAATAATATGAAAAGTTGATCCTGAAGGCAGATTTTACATTTGAATGCAGACTAAAAAGTATGTACACTGGATATGAATTAAAACAAACGTCCAACGAAACGCAGAATTCACAAAATTAAATATCTTCAAAGCAGCATTCATAAAAATGGGATTTAACATTTTGAGTCAGAGTTGGTCTGCCGTCAGAACATGTACCTTAGCAGTGGCTCTTTCTTTAGAGTAGATTTTGATTTTATTGGGACTTTATTTTTATTTTTTGGGATTTTATTTTTTACACTGAAGACTGATGATGGATCTTCTAGGATGTATTTCCCACATCTGGACCAGTCCAAGTTGGGAATTGGTTTGTTCCCTCAGGTTTAGCAGTCGATCAAATAAGCAAGAAGAGCGATCAATAAGAAGCATCCTCGACATCTGTTTGTAGTTCCTATAAAAGAAATGGACATAAATATAAAGTCTTTCCTTTTCATGGGGAATAAGATCTAAACATTGGAGGTGAAACGACCCATTTAATTTTGAATATTACCGTTTCCTCCTAATGGCTGGTTTTGAACTTCACAGTCTAAAGGTTTTTCTTCCATGTGCAGCTTGGATGGATGAATATGTTCTGGATCCCCTTGAGGGAGAGGAACAAATGGTATTTAGATTTGACATGGTTTCAAAAACGTGCATAATCTTTTGACATTTTTGTCTCATTTCAATCTTTTACTGTATCTTATTCAGATTTTATGTGATCAGGCGAAGACAACGTAGTCATATGTAACAGGTTTTCGTCCCTCTACTTGGTTCCATTTCCATCAACTCCAACCAACTTTCCTGTACTCAGATGTTCAAATCATCAATGATCTATCTGCTGTTTATTTCCTCATTTGTTCTAGCAAGGAGTTGCTAGAACAATTCACTGATCAGTGATTTCTGGCTAATCTTATAAAAAATAAAGTAAAACACTCAGCGCATAATGTTTTTTTAAACTATTTTGTTTCCTTTACGACTGTTATTTTTCTCAATTCTTAAAGCTGATAAGTACTCTTGATGTCAAAATTGTATTCAAATTAGATGTTAATGAGTAGTACTCAGATTTAGCGTAGTTCAAATAATTTTAAAATTGGATTAGAGGAGCCCTCCAAAGTTATCCTGGAATGACAGAACAGTGACCTCTGTTCACTATCGGTATTTAAACTACATGATGCTGCAAAAAAAATCTCATCTGTAAGAAACCTTATTCTGTTTGTCTTGCGTTAGCTGCAAATGTTAAATTTTTAACTCTCATGGCTGACAAGTAATTGTATCCATTTGCTATAGATGTGCACAAATTGAAATTACGAAATCGCTTTTTTGGAAAAAACAAAACAAAACACGTTTTTCAATTAAGATTTTGCGCTACAATGAGGTGGGTTTTTGAAAAAAATTTTATCCGTATTGAAATAGATGTCGCAAAACTGCAATGGAAACCTTTTTGCATCACAAGTCATGAACAACAGACGGACGTTACCCTGGCAGAAACACTGAAGACAACAGAAAGTAGTAGGAGGAAGATGTTTTGTTTTTTTCTCCCAATGTGCAGCTGGCTCAACCAGAGCTCCCACTGCATCATACAGTTCATAGAAACCTGTGTGTCATTCCAACCTGTTGAATCCATAGCTCTTATGTAAAATCACTGACTATAAATTCCCCAAAACGCCTAGAATAAGGGTATAAGTTGTTGGTTGCTCCACAGAATAAAACGCTGACGTTCATCTGACTGGTGATGAGCGCTAGAGCCATGACTGAGTTCTGAATATATCATGTTTACATCTGTCGCTGCCATGATTTTTATTGACTTGTCACCTAAACAAGCTTAATCACGTGATAATTTTATTTATTTATTAGAAACAGCCCAATTGTGAAGTATTTTTTTCGGCATTAGCAGAATAGTGAGAAAGATTTGTGCCCTTTTGTTATGGAAATGCATCTACTGTTACCTTTTACTTGTTAAATGGCCAAGATTCTTATACTTTTAGGTATTTTTACCTTAATCATTACTGCTTACATTTTTCGGATTACATTAACAACCTTGTATCTCTTTTCTGCAGATTTGTTGCATTACTTTGTGTAATTCTGACATAAAATCAAATTAAAGTGTGAAACATTTTAGTTGTGATGTTCAGCTTAGTTCGCTCACAGAGGACTGTCGCGTTGATGTTCTGCGACCTCTCTGCTGGAGGCTGCTGTGGTCCCGAAGGCCCCAGTTCCAGCTTCGCCTCACACCAGTACTGGTCTCCATCGTCCCCTCTGCAGGGAGTGACGAGCAGACTGAAGCTCTCTTTCACTGGAGTCCTCTCTGTGGTCCTGTTGGAGCAGAACTCAGCCAGCACCGTCCGTCCCTTGTAGAAGGTCACCACCAGGTTTTCCACGGGCGCGACATCTTCAACTGTGCACTGCAGAATGTACTTCTGTCTCTCGTACATCGGGCCGCTGTGATTCAAAAACCGGATGGAGACTGATTTTGGTGGCTCTGTGGAGGCAGACAGAGGATCAGGTAACTTAAAATCCTTCAATTTTCTCGTATAGTAAAAAAAAAAAAAAAAAACGAACTCACGGTAGACTATTACAGAGAGAGGACTGCTGCACTGCCCTCCCTCCTCAGGCGTTGCATAACATTCAGGGCTGAGACTCCATTCAGTCACGCTGTCCACACTCCACACCAGAAAATTTTCCATTGTGAAAACTGAACTTTCCTGTGTTTCTCCCTTTTGGTAGAAAGAGAGAAAAGAGAAAAACAATAAATCATACAAATAGAAATTATTGAGCTTGTTTGGATTATTGTGCGATTAATTGATTTCTTATTGCAAAAGGCCTAAATGTAGGCTCTACATTCTGTGTAACACATATATACTGACATTATTATTGCTACTGATTTTAACATTACAAGAGTACCAAATGAAATAAAAAAATGAATTCTTAAATACAGAGTGATATTTAAGTGTACCATATTATTTTAAGTACTTGAAAGTAACATTAGCTGATAAACACTGAATTTACAATAAACAAGTTGACAAGTTTGATATATTTTCCCAATTAAATAGAGATGACAGGAAGAGATGAAACTATTATATCTGTACCAAATGTAAAAGTGATATAGAAATTGTTTTTCCATGTTTAAAAGCATTTAGTTTGTATTATTCATTGTTATAAAAAAATTATATGTATTCTATCTTGTTAGCCTTTTGCTCTTGGGCGCCCCCTGGTGGTGGGGAGGCCCTAAGCAGCCGATAAAATCACGTGCCTTAGACCAGCCCTACATGGGAATTCACTCAACAAGTAAAAGTTTAGCATCAGCAACATATAAACATGTCTGCTTAAATATAAGAACACTAATATGGTTTATTCAAAACTCTAAAATTCTGAAGCCTTCATTGTCTTTTAATTAAAATGCCAGACGTCTCATCTTTACCTAGCATGACATCGTAGCCAGGGAGTTTCTGTCTTACCGGTAGTTTTTCCCAGCCCATCATAGAATACCCATGGTTTGGTTTCGAGCAGTTAGCGGTGGCTGGATCTCCAAACCTGAAACAGGAGAGTTTATTGGAAAATGTTCTATTTTTGGGGGGGGGGGTTTTTTAGAACCGCTTTTTTAATTTAGACTCTACCTGACCACAAGAGTTGAAGGCGAAATTCGCAGGCTGCAGCTCGCCGTGGAGGTCAGGGGTGGGAGGCCAAGAGTCGAGGGCGGGAGGCCGATTGGTGAAGGAGAGGGGGGCAATATCTGAGATGGCAGATGTGAGGCAGGAGGAGCTATGGGAGAAGAGGAAGCTGAGGAAACAGAGAGCGAGAGGACGAGTTACAACAACATTTAATTTCTCTTTGGGATCAATAAAGTATTTCTGAATAGAATTTAAAACACAAAACAATGAGTAGAGACAGCTGAGACCTGGTATATACACTGTTAAAACCAGAAAATGAGTTTTATTACTACACTGACATTAAATCGGACTAAACTTCTTCTTAAAATTATTTTTAGATTAACTGGAACTTAAAAAAAACATTTATAGAGAGATTCATTTAGCAAAGTTTACATCTACTAAAATTGCTATAACTTTAAACAATTTTTTAAACCCAAATTATACAGTGGTTTGGAAACGTATTCATACCCCTTGAACTTTTCCATGTTTTGTCACATTAGAACCACAAACATGAATATATTTCATTGGAATTTGACGCAGGAGACACAAAGGTACACGACTGTGAAAATTGCAAATGAAAAACTGTGTGCAATGGTCTAGTCAAAGTCCAGACCAAAACCCAGTCGAGAACGTGTGGCGAGGTCTGAAAATATCGGTTTCCTCTCCATCTAACCTGACTGAGCTGCAGCTGCTTTTGTGAAGAAGAATGAGCAAAAATGTTCAGTCACTCCCTGTGCACAGCTGGCAGAGACAAACCCTGGAACGCTTGCAACAGTGGTTCCACAAAGTGCTGACTCAGGGAAGATTGCATACTTTTACACACTCCACTTTTCAGTTTTTTTATTTGTTAAAAAAAAAAATGTTTCAAATTGTATATAATTTTCTTTCCACTTCACAATTGTATATCACTTTGTGTTTTCCGCTAAATTCCAATGAACTATGTTTGTGGTTGTAATGTGACAAAATATGGGACACTTCCAGGGGTGTGAATACTTTAGGAAGCCACTGTGTTCACATCTACAAACTGAACCATGTTAGTCATGTTATGCTCATCCGTGTTATATTCTACAAGCCTTTACAATGCCGACTTCCAACCTAGTAATGAATACAACAATGCATCCCTCCGTCTATTTACTTTGGCATTGTGAGGCATGACCTCATGACTCAGAATCTCCTGCCTTTGCATAGTGAAGTCCAGGGTCAACTGAATGTTGCCACCTAGTGAAATATTACCCATTCTGCTGATCTGTTGTGAGCCATTGTTTCTTGGCGGGCCGAGTCCACCCAGCGTGTTCCTCTGAGGAAGGAAGGACACCCTGCCCAAGTCAAAAGAACCTACTCCTCTTTGTGGATCGGCCATTGTTCCAGTGAACCCCGAGACTGTTCTCCTATCTGATGATCTCACCCACAGCAGACGGACTGGCTGTCAGAATGATTATACAGGTCCAATTCCCCCTTCACCAGCCTGCTGGGGCGCCGTTTAGCTTAAAAAGACCTTGAAAAATTATGTAAAATTAACTGAAATCTTTATTTTATTTTTTTAGTTATTTCAGTCAGAGAGGTGGCTGTATTAAATAAAGCTATTTTGAATTTGGGATTCAAATTCAAAAACAAAAAAAAAAAATGCATTATAAAGTTATACACTCATTTCTTGGAGCAAAGATGTTTTACATCCAACCTGCAAAGCAACTGAAACTCTGAGGTCCTTTAAGTCTAGATTTAAAACCCACCTGTTGGAACCGTGATAAATGAAAACACTAACCAGCATATTTTAGTCTTAATGCTGATTTTGATGATTGCACTCGACAAAATGTAATGTTCTTTACTGGTCTCCTCAAATTGGTGACTGTTTGTTGTTTTTATGACTTTTCATCCTTCTGTTTTTAAGATGCAAAACACTTTGAACTGCCTTGTTGCTGGAATGTGCTATCCAAATAAACTTGATTAATTGACCCATTTTTGCTGTATGAGTAATTCTACAAATTTAACAATAACGTAAAGGTTACAAATTTAATGTTAAAATATGTCAGTTGATTTACTAATTTCTGGATTTTAATTTTTAGTCTTAAAATCCATTAAGTTAGGCACATAACTTCTAGTTAGGGGAGAAATTGACTCAATTTGTTTGTGTCAATTTCACAAACAATCTGACTCTTTTTCTTAACTTCTAAGTTAAAGATTAAATATCCTTCAGACATATTTACAGATAGTTTTGCTTTCATATTTGGCCAGAAATACAGTACATATTACCCACTTCTGATTTAAGCTCTTATGGTTGCAGTTTCTATTTTTTCGGTGTACTTAAAATCAACATGAAGTCAACACGTCATCCACCTGTTATGAGTGTGTGCATCTTACCCGATCTTTTTGATGTGTACCAAACCAAAACAAACAATCCCCATTTCAGATCTTACGCTTTCATCATCTGTCCTGTTCCTTGGAAATGTTGTCCAGTTCCTTCTCACTTTGCTCATCCCAAGCTTCTTGAACTCACCTGAGCCAACAAGGCGAATCAGCACTAGCATTAGCGACCATCCAGCTGCACACATCCTTCCCTGAGTTCCCTCACTCCGAGGCTTTTTGCTTCTGCTAAAAGGAAAAACTGAAAACCGATCCTCGGATGATGCTGACTGGGACCACGTACCGAGAGCTCTGAGAAAACAACTGGGTGCTTCGGGCTTTTTATGAAAATGTGGGTGTGTGTGTGTATGGGTGTGTGTGTGCTTGTTCTGCGACTGATGATCAGGCGGTTCCTTTTGCTCTGTGGCTCTGAAAGCCACCCTGGGCGTTCTCTGCTGGTATATCAGGAGAGGAAGGAAGGGAGGGTCAAGAATAATCCAGTGCAATGCTGCAGCATTGCACTGGAGGGGAAGATTTGAGTTAGCATATGAGTGTATTTCTGAGTGATACACAGGCTGGACAGCTGATCAGCTCAAACAAACAAACACACACACGCACACGTGCGCGCGCGCACATACACACACACAAATGTGCGCTATGCAGATATAAGTACACCTTCTCAGAGCAGTTCTCCCTCTTACATCAAATTGTTTTATGCTCTAATGGTTTATGGTTCACTGATTTTATTGGGAATATTTGGGTTCAGCTGTGTGTTCAGACTCGTAAAATCTACTTTCTTGAGCTTTACATGATGTTCTAATTATATTCCCTCATCAAAAACATTCATGTGGTGTTTCCTTGATTAATTCATGCATGTTTGAGAAATCCTTTAATCTCCCATGCCAACCGTTCAGCTGTGTGAATGCCTGGGTGGGCCTAGCCCCGCCTACAAAAATGAAGCTCCTCCTCCTGTTGGCTGCATGCCCTAAGCAGACATGTTCATCAGAACACGTACGCAGAAACATTTTCAGCTGATCCTTAACTTACAGGCTTTTGTACAAAGAACTCTTTGTACAAGCCGATTAGAAAAGCATGCTACACTTTTTAGATTTGAAGTAAAAAAAAAAAATGTTAAACTTTACTTTTTACAGGTCCACAAGAATGTGCAAAAATATCTATCTATCTATCTATCTATCTATCTATCTATCTATCTATCTATCTATCTATCTATCTATCTATCTATCTATCTATCTATCTATCTATCTATATATATATAATTATATATATATATATATCTGTTTGGTGTAATCACCAGTCAAACTGCTCTTTGCCCTCTTCACCACGTAATGTGACTTCCTGTTTGCTCTTCAAAACCGAAACTTGAAAAGAAAAATCCTCCGACGCCATTTCCTTTTCTATACCGCCAGCAGTATAGATTCATATTTTTGCGTGAACTGCCACGGGCCTTTCTTTCGGAGCAACAAGTTGTGCTGAAGGCAGACAGGGAAACTTTGTCAGGATTTTTTAAGACTGTTTCAAGAAGCTGCCTGTGGCTGCGCGCGCGCTCTCCTTTCACAGAAACAGTCCAGCGGTGCTGACGCAGAGGTACGTAAAAACGACCCGATTTTTATTATTTTTTTCCTTTGAGGCGTCCCCCACCAAAGAATTTGTAGGCTACTTTGCACTGACTATTATTTTATTATTAATATTA